CATCCAGGATCTCAATGATAGGCCGAGCAGCTCCGTCTGTGATTAAGCCTGTCAGGACATCGGCTGTAGTTCTCTGCCCTGGGTTGGGGCTCAGGAAATGAGCAACTAAGAGTGTGCTCTGCAGATCATTGGGACTCCAGGGGGCTTTTTAGGTGGTCCGAGAGACCACTTAGAGTCTGTCATCCGAAAACATGTGTCTGGTTTGTGTTTTCATTATAATGTCTGAGAAGATACGGATTTTTCTTTAAAAGTGAAAAGGAATGAATATTTTAAAAAGTATAGCCATCATCATGATTATTCACTCAGGGAAAAATACATGTGTGAGTATGTATGCATCTGGAAATTTATATATATACATATATACACACATGTCCATGTCTTCCTTCCTTCCTTCTTTTCTATTCTTTTCTCATTGCCAAAAGAGGCCAATGGGATATCTGAGGCCCGGCATCCCTAAGATCTGGCCCGAACAACCTGAAAGCCCCCGGTAAGGATGTTACTTTGCAGGACCCGCCATACTCCTACACGTGACTCTGATGTTCTGGCATCATGGCGGCACGGTCCCCTCTCTAACCCGTCTGCCTCTAACCCGGTCTGCAGGCAATTTCTGCCCCCAAAACAGCAATCAGAGAAGTCTGGTTCCTCCCACATCATCCTCATCACTGCTCTAATGTCAGGGAAACAGTATGATACCTAGAACTCTGTGGGGCTCAGCTGCTCTCCTCCCCAAACTTTCCTCCCCCAAATGATGGGGAAGCTACCTTAACAGGGATGGACAAAACTGCAAATGGGGGAGGAGAAGTGGGGAAGGGGAGACTGTGCTAAACAGGTGTAAACACAGGGAGGGGCTGTGTAAATGCTCCGTCTGTAAGAGGGCGACTTTGTGGATGGGAGGAGGAGGAGGAGCTGAAGGGTGGTAATTAGCTTATTATTGTTTCCCCTGGGTGTTGTGAGAATTCCTTAGGAGACACTTGTAAAAAAGCAGAGGGAAGACAGTAAATACACATCTAATGATATGCTAAATAAATTATTATTGTTATTATTATGACTATTATTATAGCAATTGCAACTTGCTCCTTGCATCCAAGTTTCCACTAGAGATGGGAATTGGTCCCCCTACAGCCAGGCCTGTGTGCTGCCAATATGCCCCCAGTCTCCCCCCACCCCCAGAGATTGGTGGAGTAGCAGGGCAGTGTAGACCAGGCTTCAGTGAACTGACACTCTCCTGGTTTCTGCAGGAGAGCAGATCAGGGGCTCAGCCCAAGCAAGGCCTCTGCCTGGTGCCTGCTCTAGTAAAGGAAAGGAGAAGGACAGTGAACTGCCTGACCCCCTAAGCAAAGGCACTCAGGGAGGGCCAAAGCAAAGGGAGACCACTGGAGATGGGTCACAGAAAGAAGGGGGAAATATCCAAATTAGGGATACTCAACCCAGAGGTCTCGGGCTTCCTGGGCCCTGTATCATCCCAGCACCTGTGAACAACGCTGTGTGTGTGTATGTTTTGCTGGGGAGAGGGCAGATTGTTTTTGTCTGCTTCTCAAAGGGGGTTTGGGACCCAGAAACGGCTAAGAGCCATTACAGCTCAGATAAAGGGACCCAGGACTCTTTAGGATCAATGATGTATGGTCAGGGTTTCTCCATTTTCTGTCTTTTGGCTAAGGACAATCATTATCTGAACCTACAGTTTCTGAGGTTTATAACAGCTACTCTCACCCTACCCCTATCCTGGCCAGAGCCCAGACACCTGCCCAGAGTCCCTCTTAGGTGAACACATGTAAATGCTGGCCCCAGGGTTCTCCCTCTCAGCACTTCTTTAGGGAAAGCACCCATCATCTCTGTGGGCATTAGATATCCTGGGGAGGGAAGGGCTGGGTGTCTCAGGAGGAAACTGTCAGAGTTTGGGGGACTAGAAATGAGGTTCTAGGTTTAACTTAGCCCCCTCTCTGGACCTTGGATCATCACCCAGACACAGGGCAGATTGCCCCTAAAGACTCTTATGGAAAAAAGGAATCAAATCTGGGAGAGCCTTCCCTGCTCCACGCCTGGCAGGAGAGGGGAGGCCAAGCCTTCCCTGCAGACCAAGACCCTCACTAGATAGAGAAACTGCCCATTTCACCCCATTCACTGCTGGTGACCCACCCGTCCCCAAACTCTGGGACCTATTCTACAGGGACCAAATCTACAGGGAATGATGACAATTTTAAAAAGAACTGTATGAAACAACCAGATTAAGAGATATTACTGAATCAGGAAATTTGTAAGCTTTTTAAAGTTAAAACATTTTCTTAGAACCCTAAGTCATTCTGATGCACTTGGTAGTATCCCTGGAGCCCGGCTGAGGCATAACAAGGCTCTTCCTTCTGCCAGGGTGGCTGTCTCATGCTGATTTATTTTTGTGTTATTTATGTATTTCTTAATGGACCAAGTGGTGGTTCCTCTTTGGGCCCCTCAGGCTGACAGGCAGCTTCTTTCCAGCCCAGGGCCCGGCTCTGGTTTAGTTTTCATATACTTGGGGGTCTGGGGAGCCAGGAGGCTGGGGTGGGGGGCTGAGGCACTCTGGGGAGGCAGAGCCTGGCTCTGGTGCCCCATTCCGCCCCTCACTCCCCATCTCAGCTCCGGCCCATCTCTGCTGGGCACTAACCACTGGCCCCGCCAGAGCCTGCTGCCTCCAGTTGCCACGGGCTCCCGGCCTGGCTCCCACCAGGGCGTCCAGGTGCTTGCTAGCCTGCAGCAGCGGCCACAGAAGGGGAGATGCCCTCCGCCAAAAGCTGTTGCTTTGATCGCCATTCAGTTTATCTCAACAAGCATATATCAGGCTACCCCTCTGTGCCAGTCAGCAGAGTCGAGTCCCTGTCCTGGAGAAGCTCCGATTCCATGGGCAGGGGTGTGTGGAGGGTGGCACTTGGCATTTAACCCCAGCCCAGTGGTCTTCACTCCCTTCCCAGCATCCTAGAGATCTTGGAAGCCTGGCGGGCCACTGACACGGAGTGCAGGGAAACCCCTGCAAACAAACTATTGAGCAAAGAGGTCTGTGACTCCCTGGTTTTTAAAACAAACAAACTGGGGCCAGGAGAAAAATATCTTTTCTCCTGGGATGGTTGGTGGCAGGGGAAGAATTGCAGAGCCTGGACCCAGTGGTGCCTGGAAGGAGGCTGGTGGGAGAGCCAGGTAGATGGGGGGGGGGGGGGGGGGGCGCTGGGGAGGGATGAGATCTAGAGGTGCTGATCCATGTTCCCCACTTATTAAAGTCAAATTCTCCCATAAAGGCTCAGGGCAGTGCTGTTAGGGAGCTGGAGGGTATAACTTTCTGTACCCAGAGGGGAGGGAACCCCAAGCTGGGGAGCAACAGAGAAGGAGTGGCCCAGTGGAGCAAAATTAGGCGCCTGAGGCCCGGACCTCGGGCCTCGAGGAAAGGGGGTTGAGGAAGGCCTCATGAAGCTCCCATCAGAATAAGCCCAACACTTGAAAATTCACCCCTCAATCCACCAGGCTCCTACCACACAGCCCCCGAGGGGCATGGGCGGCCCAGGTGAAAGCAAACTTTATTTGGCCGCACTACCTGGCTTTCCTGGCCCTATTGCCAGAGAGCTGCGCCAGTGAAAGTGCACCCCCTCCCTGCCCTGTCCCTAAACCTCCTCACCTCTGAAGCCTACCGAAACCAGGGTCCAAGAGCAATGCGCCAAGAATGCGGAAGGGGCAAGATGGCTGCTGACCTTTAGTGCACTGAAGCCCAACTGAGGGGGTGCTCCCTCAGGGGAGAGCTAGAGTGGAGCTCCAGGTTGTAGTACTGTTCACCGCCTCCCCTTCCATAAGACCCAGTGACCATCTACACCTGCCCCTCACAAAACCAGTCCCCCATCTTCAGGTGGGTGCCCCGTGCTTACCCCTTTCCCGCCTGTCTGTTCCAGCCATGCCCCGAGCACATTCCATTCACCTCCTCTCCTTGAGGCTTCCCATGTTCTGTTTACCCTTTGGTAAACTCCATCCCTCCACCAATAAAGAACTCTGCTAGCTGATTTCCTAGATGGCCAGCCACTTTCTAGTTGGTTCTCTGGAAATATTTCCGTGAACACGTCTCTCTCAGCCCCTACGTATAAATATGTCTGTACAGAGATAGACTGGCCTGAGCCCCAATACACACACATCACGAGGTAATTACACCCTTATATACATACAGATATCTCCACAGAGTTATATTCACAAGTGTCTATAACTCTACAGAGAGATAGCAGCATGTACATATAGGACTATAATTACTTATGTGTATTTTTATAACTATGTAGTTATAAATAGATATGCCTATATATAGTGATAATAATATAGAAATATCTCCATAGCCATATATAGCTCTAAGTGAATGTTCTAACTACTCTATATCACAATCAATAAGTATATATCTCCTGATACATAATTCCAACGATATACATTTATCTATATAGCTGCTCAGAGCTATAAATCTGTCAGGATATCAAATGTCCATAAAACTGGATGGCTATAAGAGAGTCGTATATTTTCTCGTATATAAATCTGCTTTTATAACTATTGTATATGCACAAATACAATGGAAATAATTATATTTTCCCCAAGCATAAATCTGTAAATACAAGCACAGCATATTTAGGTATGGTTAGAGATAGAGCAATATTTTCTAGACATCAGTCTGTTAATAGAACCACGAGTGCCTCCAAACAGAGAGAGTTATAGTGGGGTTATAAATAAAGTCTCCAGATGTGAAGGGATCAGTAGAACTAGATGTAAACACGGCTCTAAGCCGGCCTGCCTCCTTCTTCTTCTTCAAGATAGTCCCGAAGTGAGCACGCTCACAGATGACAGGGTGCAGAGGTGTCTGGGCACGGATATTCCACCCCCCCCCCCCAGGAGGGTTGGAGGTCTCTAGGCTTTGGGAAACCATATGGAGTGGATGGGGGGCAGTCCACAAGCCCCCGCCGTGTCAGTGTCCGGGTGGCTGAGAGCTCCCGCAAGTGGAGAGGCCTAGGGGAGAAAAATGGAGAGTCCGGCTTGAGTCACTTTGCCCCTTCTTAGGCCCCAAATCCTCGCACCGGGGAAGCCCGGCCAGACATCCGAGCGCGGCGAGGCAGGAGGGGCGCGGAGGCCCGGGAGAAGGGGGCTGCGGGCCGGTTGGGGAGGCCGAGACCGAGCCGGCCCGCCCGGCGCCCCATCGCCCGGGGCAGCGGCCTCGCACGGCGGCCGCCTGGAACCCGAGATCTGGGCTCTCGCCGCTCGCCCTGCGCGCAGCGCTCCGACCGGGTGTATTGTATTTTATTAGTATTTTGTCCGACTGGTTATCACAGTGCTCCCCCTTCCTCGTGTGGTGTTCAAATGCAAGGCTGCCCGGGGTTCCCTTTTGAATCTTTGTGTGTGCACCGGTCTTAAAGAAGTGACTCAGTGGAAAGTGTAGTTCTCCGTCCCTTTCAGACCAGATGGGTCACCGGCTGTTGAAAAAGAATCAAAACCTCTGAAAAGGTTTGTGACTTAAATCTTTTAAAAGTTCTCACGCTTGTTTGTTATGGTCATTTTTTTTTTCTTTTCTTCTTTTAAAAAGTTGGCTAATTGGTGTTTTTATTTTTACTCTTTGATTTCTTTCTTTCTTTCTTTCTTTCTTTCTTTCTTTCTTTCTTTCTCTCTCTCTCTTTCTTTCTTTTCTTTTTCTTTTGGTACAATTGTTTTTAAAGGGGGGTATTTCGTTAGACCCGAAACTGTGGGGCGGCTTTCTCTTCAGCGAGCGTCCTAGCCCTACACATCTGCCTCTCCTCCCACCCCCGCCACAATAAATACATTAATATGATTATCAGAAAATTGTACCTGGAGAGAATGAGGCGGACGTGGAAGGATCCGGGATCGTGGTCCTCTCTTCCTTTATGGCGATCTGCTCGCTCCAAGCCCGCGAAGGAAAATTCAGCGCGCCTCAACCCCTCCCTTCTTCTTCTCCTTTTTTTTTTTTTTTTTTTTGTTGTCCTTGTTGTTTTTGTTTGTTTGTGTGTTTGAAAATCCCCTAGGAAGGGAACTTTCCCTGGGCCTACCGGAAACTCGGCCTTGCTCTCCCCTCTCTCGGGCAGCCATAAATGTTTGTCTGCTTCCGTCCATACCCGGCGTTGCGTCCTCCCGGGCACCTCTGTTGCCCGAATGGCCAGGACCCCGGCTCTGGCCATCGCCTCATCCATCTCTGCCCCCTCCTCCCGCCTGACCCTGTTTGCTTGCCCTCCTCTTTAAAACAGGGGCTTCAGAGACTCCCCAAAGCCACTAATCACCCCCATATGTGGGATCCCTCCCCGATGGCACAAAGCAAAAGCCGGAGAAAAAGAAGCAGGAAAGAGCGGCCTCCCGGCTCTCCCTATCCTCCTCTGGCCGGAGGACCTTGTCTGGAGAGGGGGGTTCCCAAACCCAGCCCCCCAGGGGCATAGGAAGAAGCTAACTTTCTTCCTTCCTCCCTTGTCTTCCCTCAGATGCTGTGATCCTGACTCCTACCCCTGGCCCCTCCTCAGAATATCTCCTCTTGCATTTTATTGTTATCCTGCTAGGGAGGGACTGTTAACTACTGTTTTATTGTTCTTTATTATTTATTGTTACTATGATTGTTGTTAGAGATTGGTTCGCAGGGTTCAGGGGCCAGCAGCCAGGCCCAGAGGGAGGGCTGCTTGTCACACATGCACGCAGGCACACACACACACACACACACACACACACCCCTAGCACAGTGTGCACACTCACAGGTAGGTGCCCCCAGATGCCTGCTACACGCAGGTCCCTGCACAGCAGTTCGGAGGCGGCAGGCATCCTCCCACCCCCGCGCGCACAGAGCGCGCTGCCCACGCACACCAGCATCCAGACGCTACCACCGCCCCAGCCCCAGCCCAAGGCCAAAACCCACGCACACCGAGCTGGTAAGGAAAGCAAAATACGTAAGAATCCACTTGCAGAGATCCCTTCTCTCCCACAGTCTGGAGGGGTGAGTCAGGCCTCTGTCTCTTTCCCCCAGTCTCCCTCTCTCTCTCTCTCTCTCTCTTTTTTTCTCCTTGTTTACAGCTTCAGAGAGCTCAAGGCCCATAAATCTTGAGGGGCCTACAGAGCGCAGAGCACATTTGTATGCATCGTTAGGACTCGCTAATACCTAAGCCCATTAACGAGCGTGTATGCGCGTGGTTTCCGGTGTGTATTAACTTATAGTTAAATTCTGGAGGAAAGGGCATTGTGAATTAACATATACCAAATCCATCACCGGCTTTTGTCATATCATATTAGTCAGCCATGGGTTTGGGGGAGCGGGTTGCCTGAGTTAGGGTGTACCCACCCTCCAAACTTTCTGGAGCAAGTCTGGGGGTGGGTTTAGGGGAAGAGGAGACACCTCTGCCTCAGCCCCGGTCCTTCAGATGCCCCAGGCCAGCGGCCGCACACCTGCGGGATGGTGGAGGGGCTGGGGACCAGTCCAGGAGGCCATCCGCGGTGGAGGGAGGCGGGCGAGGGGAAGGCCCTGCCGGCGGCAGGCCGGGATTGTGCTGGGGCCGCTTGGCCCAAGGCCGCTTGGGCCCTCTGGTTTCTGCTTCCGAAGAGAAAGGAAAGAAAAGGCAAGTGGCGTCGCTAAACTTTAAACCCAAGAGGAGACAGTGGGGGGAGGAAAAAAAAACCCAAAAACGATCCGAGGAGGAGGAGGCCGAAGGCCAAGGAAAGGAAGCGAGGCCGGCGGGCGCGGGAAGCCTGGAGATTTCTGCAAGGGTTTGAAAGCTGGGCCTTTTCCCCACCCCACTTACCCCGCCCCCGTCGAGGAGGTTAATTGTAGCCCTCTGATAAATAGACAAATACATAAAATTTAAAACAAAAGATTTTTTAAGAGAAAGGGGGAGAAAAGGAAAAGAAAGAACAGATTAAAAAAAAGAAAGAAAGAAAAAGAAGAAGAAATCCTAATTGTATGGCATGTTTCAGCCAGGTGTTCGTGATCCCAGCGACTCAGATCCTATTGGAACCCCAAGGATCTGTATAACTGGGCCCGTGTAGACAGAGATGAAAGATGCCAGTTCTAGGGAGAAAAGGGAGAGTGGAAAGTCCATCTCTTGGGGTCCTGTAGAAAATGCCAAAGACAAGCTAAATTATTGTGTCCGTGTGGATCCCGTTGCCTATTTAAATACAGCAAGCGGGGCGGGGTGGGGGCGCCGGGCTGGAGCGGCCGACCCCGAGCGGGCGGCGGGAGAGAGTACGCCCCACCCCCCCACCTCCGCCTGCGGCCGGGGGCCGGGGGCCGGGGGCCGGGGGGCCGGGGGAGGGGAGGCGGGGGCGGGCCCTCCCCGGGCGCTGTGAACTTTAGCTGGGCCGCCGCCTGTCAGCCCCAGAAAGCGTTAAAGGTGCAGCAGCCCGCGCCAGCCTCCGCAGCCGCCTTTGTACGCGTGATTTATGACTTCAATCTTGGTTCACCGAGAGTTCACACGGCTTTCGCTGCTGTTGAAGGTTAAAAGATGGTCTTCGCTTGACAAGTGGGACTATTGAAAATTCCTTCTTCTTCGTTTTTTTTTTTTTTTTTTTTTTTTTTAGAAGCGAAGAGCGGAGACTCAGAAGAGAGAAAATTTGGGGGGAGGGGACAGGAGTTGCAGGTGGGGGAAAATAGATCAGGAAAGTTTGTCCCCCTACATTTAGGATTTTTTCATAGGTAGGATTTGGGAGTATGTTGGGGAGGCGGGTAGAGAATAGGAGGAGCTAGGGAAGGGATTTAATGATCTCTGGAGGCCAAAGGAGTGGCATTCTAAAAAACACAAGTCGTGTTTCCACAATTAATTATCTGGATAATTTGGATCACACCTAACCGATCCTCCTCTTGAGAACAGAAGGGGGGCCCGGGAAGGAGCTTGGAGTGAAGGGCGGATATGTGGTCCCCATGGCAGTAGGTGCCCACCAGCTATGCTGCACTGACCATCCACCTAGCCTGCTAGCAAGCTTTCAAGTGCACCCTTGTACCCACAGGTTTGGAAGAGAGTTCTTTGGGTCCCAACTGTTCCAACTCCCTTCATCCTGAGATGTCCATGTCCATGTCACCTGACATGCAGATTTGATGCAACTGCTGAGGCTGATGGGAAAACCATAGAATTGGGACTGGAAGTTCTTTCTAATGCCACCCCTTGGTTACTGGCCACTTGTTCCTTCTTCCTTCTAGCATTTTGAAGAAAGTGGTTCCACAGCAGAGATGGTGGTCAAAGATCTCCCAGAGGCCAGAAGATAAGGCCCCTTTGCTCTACGGCTTTGAGTATTTGAAGGAACAAGAATCTCTCCTCCTTTTCAGATTGCCTGAGCGAGAGAAGGAGATCTCCTGGAGCTGTGAGGGTCCGAGTGGCTCTTTGAAGTTCCTTTAAGATCTTTAAAAATCCCACTGAGGTGGGAATTTGGGATTATAGGTGTTGGGGGGGAGAGCAGCAGAGAGCTGGGTCTGGTGTTGGGCATGCCTGCTTAGCCCTGTTTAGACCCCACCACCAAGACTGATGAAGTCAGAGTCAGCCCCTCAAATCCAGATTCTGGAACCAACGGCATCCACACTAGAAGGGGTGTTCCCTGTTTCTCTTCCCCCCCTAGAGTTAGAAGGCCTTCCACCACTACAGTATGAGGGCTCCTAGGCAATCCCTGTGAGAACAGAGGAGCCAGGGGGAGAGGAATCAGAAAGATGGGGCCCCCATCTCTCTGGGACACCCAGTACCAGCTCCTCCCACAGGACACCCCGCAGAACAGGCAGCAGGGAGCAGAGAGACCCCAGAAACCCAGAGTCCAGGTTCTGAGGACTCTTTGGCAGGGATGACCCTCTGGCCTCAAGAGAAGAAGCATGGCCCTGTGTTTAGAACCCCCTGTGGGGGTTAGCTGTTAGGAGGAATCAGCCAAGGAAGCTAATGAATCTCTTCCATGTTCTGGTTGGAACACAGAAGAATGAACTTAAGGGCGTCTAGAAGTAATGGCTGCAATGATGTCCCCTTCCCACCCCCTTTAACCGAATTCTTCCCTGGGAAATAATTTCAGCGGGCTTGTGCTTATCTGCAAGTCTGCAATAATTATGAATTATTAATTCATAATTAAGACTGTTGATTGTGACCATTGCTCTCCAGTGGGCTCATTTATTTCCTTCTCCTCTGTGAAGCACAGGGCAGCCTCTGCTAGCCCCTGCCCTCAGAATAAGCAAACTGAGGCCTGGTCCTCTGGAAAGCAGCCCTTGAACTCGGCCCCTATGTGGAAGAGTTGCCTCACTACCAGTCAGGTCCTGTTGCACCCCCACAGAGTATTTGCACTCAATAAACCACCTCCCACTAACGTCAGATTTCAAAGCGCTTTGCGGGCTTGGCTCCTAGAAAGGTAGAGTGAGGACTGCTAGTGAGACTCCAGCGAGGGAAACAGCTTAGCCAAGCTCTGGGTGGAGACAGGAGATCAGGCCTCTTGGCAGGACTCCCAGGCGTAAGAACCCAAGTGATCTGGCATCAGGGGTGGGCCCTCTGCCTTCCCCTGCCGCAGAAGATGCTGGTCTCCTTCAGCCCTCTGGAGACCCCCCAATACACACCTGGCTCCTTTTCCTGACCTCCCTTTCCCCCCACCCCACTCCCTTGAGGAGGCAAAGGCTTCAAGATACACCACACTCTGGGAGGTTTGGGGGCGGGGAAGTGGGATCTGCCAGTTGTTTCACATCTGTAAGGGCCTAGAGAGGGAGAAAATTGTATCCTGTGAGATAATTTCCATCTGAATCCCCGCCTGCAGCTCACCTCCCCCTGCGCTGAGACATGCTCTTATTCCCGTCTTCCCTCCTTCCCTGCCCTCTGAAAATGCTGACCCAGACTGGAGGCCGAGGCTGCTCCCACAGCTGCATCTAGAGAGAGAGACAGAAGTAGAAAATGAGGGAGGGGGTTCAAACCTCCTACTTCCCCTACTATTCCTCAAACCCAGAACAACCCCCCAGTCCAGGGCCCTCCCTCCTCCTTCCCCCAACTCGGCCTCATGGAAATGGAGCCCTTCTCCCCTCCCTGAGGCTGTGACTGCTCTAAGATTTTGCTCTAAGAACACCACCACCTTGCATAGGACATTTGGGGACCCAGCCCCCATGCCTCTCCCAGTGCCTGTCTGGTCCGAGGGAAGCAGTGGCCCAGCCAGCACATGGCCACTTCATGCTACAGGAGAGCAGTCCATGGAGACCCCTCAACTGCCATCCCAAACCTCACTGGCTCTTCCCCTGAGTCACTCCAGCACCCTTGTTCTCCCCCAGGCCAGAAGGCAGGTAGGAAGCCCATCTAGAGAGTCCCCTGGAGTTGGCGAGCATATTTAATTTACTGTTTGATAGCAAATAAAGAGACCTTGGGAAAAAGGGAAGGAGCAACTGTGCCTGGCGACCTCCCCACCCGCCCCTCCTCTGGACATTGGCTTTCTCCATGAAACAGTGCGCTGTTGTTCTTGGACAACCATTCCCCACCATCTCCGTTCGAAGGGTTTGAGTTTCACCCTCCGTTCACCCCCATTAATCACCCCAGCAGCTAAACATCACCCAGCCCCCTCTGGCCCTTTTTCTTCTTCTTGCCCTTAGTATTCATGGCGGGCATTCCTCACTGCTGCGTGCCTCACAAAGACCCCTCCTCCGACACAAGGTCCCTCCCCCCTCCAGCTACCCCGTCCTCAGTGGGCGCTACTCACCTTTCCCGAACTTCTGACTGCCAGCTCCCATTCCTGAACCCCGTTCCCCAGCTTTCACCCCTGCCACTGCCCATTCCCTCACCACACCCTCCTCCAGGTACCTCATGCCATCCCCACACCCCTCTGCCGTCT